TGTGAATATTTTGCCTGTTAAATAAAAAGACAATGGTACACAGATTGAAGCCAGTCACAACACCAGAGCTGCAAACAGATCACAATGGCAGCTGTTTTGGGGGGACACAGACAATGTCCAGTTAGCAAAACTTACAATTGCATACATATCATTAAATATTTTACAGAAATACCCTATACAGGAGGAGTTCAGAATAAAAGTGAACTATACAAGAAAGCAATATCAACTAACCGTGATTGTAATAATGAACAGAAACACACGCACACACATCACTGACTGGGTGTGTTGTATAGGATGTGTGTGTGTGCTGTTCTACCACCACCTTTCATGTGCTGTCTCCACCACCTTTCATTTCTCTTCCTTCCACACATTGCCATCCTGTCATGTACTTTCTCCAAAAAGTATCTTTACAATTTTCTGTTAGACATAACGATGGACGAAGGATTTTGACAAACAACCTTATACCAAGACATCAGGAGTCACAGTGTTCAGTTTGAAATTCATCGGACCCATCAGTAAAGATCTGTTTTGGGGTGTGCATCCATTTACCGTTTGTTCACTCATGGTTACTGCATTAAAGAAAAATATAGCCACATACAGTGATTTACATATGTTGTATTTTTTAATGCTAACGTATAAGCATGTAATAGGGATTTTAATACTGCATATACAGTAACCGACTAATTGGCCAGCCAGAAGATTAACCAAATTTTTCCTTACGTTACATTGATCGGTTCTACTTTACAGTATTTGTATTCTACCAAACAGGGAACTTAACCACCTCATAAAACTGGGAGTTTATTGTAACTGTATATACTGTACTATACAGTACTGTAAAATATATATTTTTTTCATATGACTAGAATTATATCAATATTTTGAGTGATATATTGGAGGAAGTTGGTCACCCTCTTGAAGCCTCTATTTGACTTGATAAACTCCTGTTCTGTGTATGATAAAATCAACCTTCTTCTCTCTCTTGTTGAGAGTGCATTTACATGAATTCCAAATGATATTTTTCAACCACAAAAAGACAGTGAAGTGCATTGTATTCATTCATTTTTAGCTTATAAAAATAACAAGTAACAAAAATCTTTGAAAAATAAGTGCACATATTTCTCATTTTCCATTTCTCAGAAACAAAAATAAATGATGTTCAGTTGTCTTCAAACTAGGTGCAGTATATGTGTACATTTGCTACCTTGTACTTTACTTGAATGGGCTAAAAAGCATCAACTGAACAATACTGTATAGTTGTTTTATTTTTCCTTGCCTCACATGACTGTAACCTACTTTGGTGTGGTTTAAGTTTGGGTTAAAGGGATTCTGGCTACACAGAGTTTGCCTAGACTTGATCCTGGTAAATAAGGAACAATGTGCCTCAAGATATATGATTTATTCGCTAATTAAATAGAAAAAAACAACATATTACAGTAATATCTCCGTTAGCTGGAATTCCTCAAACTCGGAACTCTATGATAGCCGGAATTGAAATTTTCCGGAAAATTCCGGCTGTGGGAACGATTTTCCGGAAAATTCTGGAAAATCATCTTCAGTAACCATTAAAAATCATTTTCACCTCAGTTTAGAGAACTAAATCAAGAAATTATGACTACAGACAGCAAATGTACTATTAGAAGACCCTACATTTATTTCCGTAAGTCCCATTAGTATTTCTAAATCGATTCTAATGTACTGTATAATTAAGTACAAGCATAGAATATTTTAAAAACAAGAATATAAAATTATAATGATAATTTCTTTGGAATAATCTTGCTAAACAATTTTACTTACTGATATTTGAAAATATTCTAGAAACAATATTTTAAGAACATATCAAGCTACAGAAATGTGTGTACTGTATGAACATTCTTATACGTACCTTTACAGTACACACTTTTTTAATAAACAAGGTACAGGGTAGTTTAATACAGTACTGCTAAGTTTCAAGTTGGTCTCCTTATTGAAAAGAAATACCCTGTATGCTGTGTTGCAGAACTGTCACTTTATTGATCCACTGGTTCCAAGTTGGTCAAATTGGCAGAGGTAAGAAGTCTGGACCATGAGTCAACCTACAAGAAGATAGAGTGTGATTACTTTATTCTTTAGTTATTAATTCATATTCATCACACAAACAAAAAATTATACATTCATATCGAAAACACTAGGAATATTGTAACTATCTCGGCATAAGTTATATCATTGGTTCATAAAAAATGAGGCATGTATGGTGTACTACACAGTATTCTTGTGTAAATAATCCAGTCTGTGTACAGTCAAGGTCAAAAGTTGACTCCTCCTAAACTATCTCTTACAATCATTACTTATTTATGTTATAGTGGATACTCTCCCCTACACCTGCGCGGTAATTGACCCGTTACCGCCTTCACCTCAGCCAATCAGCAGCGCCGCTCACTTCACTCAACCTTATCCCGCAGAATTATATAAATACTCCCCAGCCTGGCCGTGAAGGTCATTCTACTCAACGCTCTCAAACTAACAAGACCTCTCAACAACCTCCTCACCACACAGCAACTCTCTAGCACTGCATTGTACAGTACATACAATATATACACAGAAAACGCCATTGTGAGTTTCCCTTACCTCCATTCTTAGTGCGAGATCTCCTACTTGTATGTATGTATGTGAGCCTAACAGAGAAAATAGACAAACAAAGAGAAATTTGATAACTGTTGAAGATGACACCGACAGACCCTTCAACCAGCAAGAACTCCAGAAGTCGATAAAACGTTGTAAGGACACAGCACCAGTTGCCGACAGAATTACCTACTCCATGCTTTCCCATGCCGGAGAAGCCAGGCACGAGGCTTTGCTGCAAGTCATCGACGCTTCGTGGATAGCACAGAGACTACCACCGGAATGGAAGAAGGCAGATATACAGCCCATTCCGAAGCCCAGAGAACCAGACAAACCAAGGCCCGCTCCCTTCCTCAGCTGCATAGAGAAGACGGGAGAAAGAATGGCTCTCAACAGACTCAAGTGGAAAGTCGGCAGCCCACACCTTCACATTTTTGCTTACACCGAGAACACCGGCACAAGCAACAAAATTGCCGAGATACTCAGCACAGTGGACAATAAATCAGCTTTGGTGGTCTTCCTCGGCTTGGAGAAGGCCTTCCAACTAGCAAATCCACTGGCCATTATAACGGTGCTCGCCGAAAAAGGCCTCAAAGGAAGGTTACTGGGGTGAAGCCATAGTTAAGTCCCCCATGATATGGAAGTGGCTAGGATTGAGCATCGCTGCGTTGTCTATTAAGGCTCTCAAGTTCCTTTGATTTGTTCTCGGTAACGTCTCTGTTCTTAGTAGTAATCCCCCCTTCTCAGAAGCTGCAGCATTTGCTAAGTACACTGTATTTTGCAGGGTGTGGTTAGAAATGTGATTGTTTACAAGGCGCTCGTCTACTCCAGGCTGATAGGCGGAGCAGGTGCCACTTCCCTGGTGGAGGGTGCGCTGCTGCCCCCTGGCTCTGTATCGGCACACTTGCTTCCACTAACCTCTCCCTGAATATAACCCACGTCCACCCGTCCTCGTTCCTCCTCGACTCCTCCCTCTTCTGCTTCAAGTCCTGCAGGAGCTTCTTGTGCTGTTCCATCTACATTACCGTGTGATGTGGGCAGGCCGGATTTACCAATAGGCCAAGTAGGCCATTGGCCTAGGGCCCACCGGTATCTGGGGCCCTACTGAAACTAATTTCAGCGCGCAGCGTGCCAGCGTATAACCTTGTTTCAAGTGTACACCGAGTATTTCATTATATAATATATTCACAACCATAAGTATAGGGACCGGAGTATGGGGCCCATTGGGCCCACCTTTGGGAGCCTGTGGGGTATGGGATGTTTGGGTTCACACTCAGGATGGGATGGAGAAAGGAAACTCACGATGTGCTCTCTGTATACATGTTGTATTGGATGTACAATGCAGCTTGGTGCTGGGAAGTGGCAGCGTGATGTAGAGAGAGCTGGTTGGTGAGGATGCTCAGAGGAGGACAGCTTGTGGGTCGCCATGCTCGCCGGCGGGAGCGAGGGCCGCCAGGCAGCGGCGGAGGAGGTGGTGTTGGTTGCTGCGGCTGTAGCTAGAAGAAGAGAGAGAGGTAGGTCACCACGAGGTCAGGTCTTAAATAGCGGAGGTAGGCGTGGCTTAGTAGTTGATCTTCGTCATGTAAGGCGGTTCTGGTTGACCCAGACCACGAGGCATACACTGGGGAATTCGCGGGATCGGCTACTCAGCGACAAACAGCGTTTGTAGGGGAGGAATCCACTACAAGCCCACAGGTGAGTTTGGCCTGGGGCCCACAAGTAGGTAAATGCGGCCTGATGTGGGTGAATGAATACACTCCGCAATGCCTCGCTTCTTGCAAAAAATTTTGCCTGCCGAATAACTTCCCATTTCTCCTCCTCGCTCACTAGTGTGATCCTGTCACTAGCCTTTATTGATTGATTGACTCAACAGGAGTTTTGTTCTATGCATCCAACACTTCACCCAGGATTCATTCAAACCACGCAGCTCTCCTCCACAACTGAAACATCTGAATGCTTACTTCATGTGTTAAGAAATAGCTGTGTTTGTGTTTGTCTGACACTTCTTATAATAAAATTAAATATTCGTATACTACTTTTTTTAACTTAAATTCCATTATAATGTATTTCACCATACATTTCTGGGGGTGGGTTTGTAGTGCAAGCAAACTAATTTGTCAGCATAAAGGGATACAAGATTTTAAGTTTATGTACTTTGAATAATTATGAACACAAAGGAGCCACTAGCAATAATATCTGAAAAAAAAACCAGCCACATTAAATATTGCCCCACAAGTACAGTATATACCATGTAAACAAGTCACTTATATATAGGAGTGAAGTAACGCTACAATATCTAAGTATATAAATCATTGCCTGTATTGATTGATTTCCATTATAAGTATAACCAACACCCCATCATAAAGTAATAAAAATGCTCTTGGCACAAATAGTTTGAGAACCATTGAACTAGTCATTCAGTGTTTACATTTTAAAGGGCACTTGGAGCTGGGACAGGTCACCTATATCATGGTTGTCACAGTTACATCTCTTTCTCAAGCTTCAAAGGTATTTAGTATTAAGTATATAATGAATAACACGGCTATAATTATTGTTGTTAGGTATGCCAGTACGGACAACCTTTAATGTGTTACCTTTACCTTATTACATGTTATTTATCACTGTCAACAAGACCAAATTACAGTACATAATTTAGGTAAAATTTTAGTTTCTGGAATCCTTGTATTTAGATATACAAACTATGTAGTTACTGACAAATATGAAGGTCCAAATCGTTCATAACACCAAAAGACCCATCGGAAAAAAATAGTTTGGATATCTAACCAAACTTAATCTAAACTAACTTAAATCTAGTTCCTAATATTCCCCGCATCACCGAAATTGTATTCTTTTTACTTTAGGACGTAAATCCCTAGGGGCTGACCAATATGTTTTTCCAGTGTATTTTGGTGTGTTCAACGGATCTGACCTTCATTTTTGGCTGAAATTGCTCGGTTTTGCCCCCCCCCCCAGCAAAATGGGAGAGCCTGGGATATTGGGGATTTTGGTTGGGCGAGAAAACGATAACGCAAGTCATCTAACCTAACAAAACCTAACCCAACATAACCTAACCCAACCCCTAGCAGACCCCGGTAGGCTTAGCTTAACCTAACAAATTGTTTCAGTAGTTTAAAACTTTGGGGCTCGACATGTTCGAAAGTACAATACGTTAGTTAGAAGTAGGAGGAACGGGGACGTATAAGAATTGGATAGAATGATCATCTTTTCCGTAAAACTCGGCAATAAACTTAAAATAATTGTAGGGGCACACAAATGACAACCGACCTCCACCACGACCATTGTGAGACTAGTCAACGAAATTAAAATCCGTGCCCAGGATGCTTCCTTTGAACAAAATCAAATGTGATTGGACGAAAAAAAATCGTGGTGATATCGATATATCATTGGTCATGACTGGATGACTGTCAGTCAATATTGTGCATGCATGATGCGCCGATAACATCTCTTCACAGATGAAGACTGAAAACTACGTAAAATCAATTAAATTCAATTGTGTCGCTGTAAACCATTTCCGCCGGGTATATATGGGGTTCAAAATGCTCGGAATAGGGAGATCTCAATGTTTCAGCAGCTTATGACTTTAGGGCGCCCTATGTTGAAAAGTAAAATAATATCATCGAAACTAATGTAATACCAATTTTGGTAGAATTTTTTGTATTATTATTGTTTCGTTCATGCAGCGAATTTAGGTTTGGGTTAGTTTAGGTTGAAATTATGTTTATCCAATGGTTTTTAGATGTACAGTAATTTGACAAATTCTGACCTTCAGAAAATATGTGCATGACCGAGTTGATAATTTTACCATATTTCTTATGTCAGACTCATGGGATAGAGCTGCTTTATGCAAATTTTAAATAAAAGAACATTGTTTTTCTTACCTTGTGAATATAAAAAAATTATGCGGAGGAATTAGAAATTTCGGTAAAATTGCGCTTTCGGCCAATATGCCCTAGTAGTTTAGAGATTAGTTTATCCTGTGTATTTTGGTGTGATTTGTTGAATTTGACCTCATTTCCAGGAGAAAGTACCCGTTTAGAGTTATATCCCCCCCAAAAAAAGCATGGAAAAACTTAAATTCAATTCATTTCTGACATTATTCTTTGCCCCCTGGAGAAATGGGGTAAGAGAAATACTCCAAATAAGTAGATCTAAAGATTGGGGATGGTTAAAACAGTCGGCCATGTATTTCCCCTGCCCCCAAAGGTAACGAAACCTAACCTAACCCCAAATCGGTACAATACCTTAATTAAAAGTCGAGGGGCCAGGGACAGGCTGGAGGTCAGGCTCTGATGTCCACCCGACAACTTTAAAATTTATTTCCAAAATTATTATTCTTGCCCCTGATGGGGTTAGAAATACTCCAAATAAGGAGATCGAAAGGTTGGGGATGGTTAACACAATTAGCCATGTATTGTCTGAAACTGCAATAATACCCAAATTTCTAATCAGGTCATTTTTATTCTTTGACATTTTCTTCCTTAACACACTACAGTACTTTGTGATGTGGATAGCTACCAGGGAACTCAATACCCTGTATTACTTGCTATATATGTTGTCTCTTGCGATTCCTGGGATTTGCATTCTTCACGTTGTCTCTCGCTCAAGGGTAGCTTAGATAGGTTACTCGAGAATCATTCAATTCTCAGCCATCACAAGAGACGAAGTAATGAGATTTATACATACAATTAGCTTTGGCCTAATTTTTTTCACTTGTCTTAAGGGATGACAACAAAATGTACTGTGTGAAGTAACTTGGGTTGGGAAAAATACAGTACTGTATAGCAGCTGATGAATGGTTTACTTGTGCATGGTTAAATTCATGCACGGTATAGCACTTACTACAGTACAGCATATACCGGTAACCTACCCTTGTCAAAATGGCCGAGATTAGATACGGTAGCAACAGTACTTTTTCAGAAATACAGTACCTGTACAGAGTTTAAGGTACAAGTACAGGGATTAGCTATTACAGAAATTGACTATTTATTTTATTCACAGGTGTAGAAAGGTGTGGTGAGAGGTATGCAGATTATCCTGTAAGCTGCAAATAGAATATGGCAGAAATTGATGAAGACTCGACAAATATTTAAAAAATATAGAAAGTGAGAGAAAAAAGGAAGATCATAAAGACATGGAGGAAGGTGAGACAGAACCCAGGGATTTAGATAAAAAGTTCCAAATGAAGGAAGTCAAGGAAAGCTTCGATTGGAGGATGAGAACTCAAAGGGAGATGTAAATAATGAGAGTAACGTTAAAATAAATGAACTGGGGTTAGCTGAGGACGAAGAACCATTGGATTTAAGTGAAGAGTTATGCTCTGAAAATATTTGTAATAGAAGTAAAGAAGGTCCTTCAGGAAAGTCAATGATTTGTGATAAAAAGCTGAGACTTTTATCAAAAAGATTCAGAGAAAGTTCACCTAAAACATCTCTCAGTAAAAAATGTGAAGAGAGAGCTAAACATAAGATTACAAGAGATACTGAACAGAACATTTCAGTAGAAGTGACAAAAGAAATATCCAAGTCAAGTGTTGAGAAAACAAAGTCTGACAAGAATAAAGATGACAGTGTCTCGAGGTGTGGCAGTAAGTGTGAAATTTCAAAGGTTACTGTAAAGACTGGTAGTGAGATATTGTAGTGTGCAGAGACCACCTGAATGTAAACCTGCAAGCATAAGCACTACATCTTCGCCTCAAGATGGTGGAAGTGATGATGATTGTGAAGACAAAGACCATGATACAAAAACTGAAGGGGAGGACGAGGATTCTGAAGATTTGCCACCATTGCGGATTAGGAGGGAAACCACTGAGACAGAATTTGAGGACTCAGATCGAGAAGATTTTCCTACTGAAGGATTACTCAAGGAACTACATTTTCTTAATGCAAGGTTAGTGCCCCACCTCTTGTTTTATGAAGTAAAGTATGGTACTGTTTTATGTTGTCAAGAACTTGGGAATCTATACTAACACCTACTCAGTGACAGACTGTACAGTAGGTCATTCTAAAACTTAAGAAATTGTAGTTAAATCTTAAGAAATTGTAGAGCCCTGTAGTCCTTTACTATGTCTATACAGTAATATATATATATATATATATATATATATATATATATATATATATATATATATATATATATATATATATATATATATATATATATATATATATATATATATATATATATATATATATATATATATATATATATATATATATATATATATATCAGCATAATTGCCATTTGGGCAGTCAGTCTGTTCTTTGTTACAACCTTTATTGTCCAGTGTTGTGTTAGTACCAGGGATCCAGAGTACAGTAACCAGAGAAAATATGCAATGCATGGAAGGGTCACACTAGTTAACACCCTTCTCACTTCTGACCTAGGCCTGGGATGAAACCCAAAACACAGTACAGTAGTGGGAGGCATGTGTGTTTCCTCTACCACCTGTGGAATTACTGTATGTAAAATGGATAGAAGAAATTTGGTTATTGTAGTTAGTTAATATTTATAAAGAACTTAAAAAAAAATTAAAAAGGAATACAGACAGTCAAAACATGAGGAGATAAGTAACTGCAAGGAAATTTTTAAGTAGAAAATACAAAAAAAAAAAAAAAAGGACAACTATCTGGTGACAGGTGATTGGAGGTAAGTATTCTTGTCAATACAGTAACTATACAGTACCTGTTTTATTTCTTTTATTATTATGGTGTAGTATACTGTCAGCTAATTATTTTATTTTAGAAGGGGATTTTTCATTGGAGTTTAGATACAGTGTAGGATTTTTTTGGGGGGGGAAGGGGGGGTCACTCAATAGAGGTCAAGAAATGTTTCTCAGTTAGATAAAATCATTAAGTGGTTCTCTATGTTAGATAGCTTTATGCAAACCTCTTTTGTAACGTAATCCCTGAATAAAGTGAGGGCCAGCTGTAAACTGTATCAGGCTTTTGAATTAAAATTTCTTTGTCTTTTCAGCTGCGAGAGACCATCTTTTAAAAAGAATGCTGCACAGCATACTCACAAAACGCCAAAGAAACAAAGAAAATTAGACTTTGGCTCTCAAGTAATAAACGCGAGTGCATCCAGCACTCCAGGAAAAAGCTCACGCAAGAAGACCTCACCAAGAAAGAGGAGTAGATGTAATGCTTCATCTCCTGATAAACAATGTCAGCAGAAAGTGGGTTAGTATTTTTTTTTATTTTATTATAATTTATTAAAATTTTATACCAGTCTTCTGATTCATGGAGAGCTATACAGTACAGTAAATTTAATTTTCCTCGGATGTGTTCACTCCTTTAGCTTTTAGTCATATTTTGTTTCGTACATACTAAAATTTTGACTAACATTTTCTCACCCCCTGCGAACACCAGGGCTCTCTGCATAAGCCCAAACCCTCAACTACCTCTCTCCAACTTGGCTGTGATATTCAGCACATCTATTTACAGCCATTCTTATCTTCAGTCTTCACATACCTATTACTCCTTACTATATAAACACTAAAATTTCTTAACCTTATTACATCTCAAGTTATTACAACTATAGTTTATTATTTTCAAATCTTATCTGTCAAAGATGTTCCTCATGACAAGGTTAACTTCTTTGCTCTGTGGATAAACTCAGATAAATCTTGGGCATTTAAGCATGACTCCTTTTTTTTTTCCAATTTACAGATTCTGGAACTAAAAGGATAAAGTTTCACAAGTCATCAGCAAAAGAAGCTTATAGCACCAATCAACTATATTCAGAAACTAGTGATGAAGAGCCGGATGGTCTCACTATTGTAGCTCAAGAAGAGAAGCCAAAAAAGAGAAAAGGGATGGTATCTCCAGCCAAAACAAAGAAAAAAGCGTGAGTGCCCGTATCAGTTTTTGTTAAATAGCTGGGTGTCAGCATAGAACAATTGAATAGCAGTTGATATTTTGTGAAATTGGGACCATAAATTATGGCTAGGGGATTAACTCAGTCACTTTTCTTAGGTCAGGTCATGGGAAAACAGGAGGGGGGTATCATATGAAGTCTGTATAGGTCAGTGGAGTAACATCAAGCACCTGAAGTAAAGCCACTCTGGCCCCAGGCTTGACTGAAGTCCCACACTCATGCCCTTTAACCCCGTACTGGTGTTAATTCGTAGATCTATGTCTGTGAGTGGCTTTCTTTGAGCGGCCTATAACGTGGATCTACGAGTTTGATTTTTAAGGTTCTGAAGGCTAAAATGACCTGTATCCCAAGTTTGCTGCCCTCAACACAGGTTAAGAAATATACCCAGAGATCTTGTCATGTATGCAAGAGAATAGTGTTATGTGAAAAAGTGTTGCTGCAGCGAGTGTGATGTTTCAGGTGAACAAGGTCAGGTTGGAGTAAGGCAGCTATCAAACAGGGAGGTACTACCGCCTTGGAAGATATTGGAAGCATAATGTGTTGTTTTATGGTAGACCCTGCTGCCATATGGCATCACAAAAATTGTGACCGAGTTCCAGGTTGCTGATAAGACTTTCTGCCTCATTTGCACACAATTGCAGGGTCTCAATTGTTTCTCTTACTATTGACAACACAACATACATACAGTATATTGTTTCTCACTCTTGATTTTTTTTTTCATTTTTGTTGTGTTTATAATTATTATTATTATTATTATTATTATTATTATTATTATTATTAATAATTTTTATTATATTTTCGACCCCCAAGCCCCAATGTGGGTCAGTGATCTATGCCCAGGTGGGCTAATACACATTAAAAAAACAAAACAACCCAAACCATTCTGAAAACCGAAAAATTCCAAAAACCAAAATGCCTCTGGCCCCAAGGATTTCGGATAAAGGATTGTCAACCTGTATTATTATTATTATTATTATTATTAAACAGTAACACCCTGGTTCCATAGGTGCTGCTTATGAAAAACTTTACAGAAGTGTGTCATATATTTACAGAAGAATTATGGGTTTGTGGAATAGATGTTGAACCCCCCATTTTTTTTATAAGAAGAAAAAATACATTTTACTCTTGTACTTTTAAAATTCCTGATTCAGTCATTTACACAAACACCTGCCAGATATTTTTAAATTTTCTGTCCTCAAAATTGATAGGAATTTAATTTGTATTTGTCCATCCATCGGTTTGTTCAGACGTGGACAAAAAGTCTCTCAACTCACATATACTATCAGCAACTGGTAATGCATATTATGCATATAGTACTGTAATACTCTGAAAAGATATGCACTATATAAGTTGACAGTCACAGATGTATGTCAGTCCAGAGGCATACTTCCATCTCAAAGTTGTCAGCAGGATAAGACAAAAGTTATCACAACGTCAGTGAATAATGAATTCTGTTGGCTTTTTTATATGATTCTTTGATTTCTCAGACGTGGCGAAGGTGAAGGAGATGTACCACAGGAAGTCATAGAGCTGATCAAATCTGGCGTTGATGAAGTCTTTGAAGAGAAGGCAGAGCGGACACACCTTACAGCCATCCATGTGAAAAATATCATTAAGGTATTTCTCATTCTGATTTATATTGTCTTCCCGAACTGATAGAGGGAAACTTGGTATCATCATCATCATCATCATCATCATCAAGTTTGTTCAAGGTGTGTTTACAAAACTACTTAACTAATCTCTGTCAATAAATAAATAAAGTATCATTAGACAAAAAACAAGAATCCTTAAATACAAGTTTCTTTGTCAGAGTTAAAGATCACAGACTAAACAAATCTTCTTGGGCTTAACAATTTTGAGGCTACAAATACTGTGCCATAATGAAACTGATTCTGTGTCAGATTCAGAGCATAACTTGTGTATTGAGGCTGTTGTTGTGATAAAACTAACCAGATTTTTATTATTAACTGATAAAACTGAAATGTGTGTGTTTGAGTGTATCAGATATCCAAATTCAAGTTTGTGTGATCAGGGTCAAAACATCGTCAGGAACTGAACTTGTATTGGTATGGTTATCTTTAGGAATCATCACATGACTATGCAGTATACTGCACAGTACAGTACCTTATATCACTAGATGAAGCAAGCATCACCAAAATTGAGTTCTGTGACAAAATTCAAACTGTTGTGTGAAGTTAATAGTATTCTATCTCCTTATATCATTATATGAAGTGTAGAACACAAAATATCATAAAAAATGACTGCAACTGAAGGTCAGAGAAGGTCACAGTATCAGTTCTTTTATCAATGTAGGTAGTAGGTAGCAGGCAGCTATCAAACAGGGAGGTCCTACCACCTGAGAAGATATTGGAAGCATAATGTGTTGTCTAATGGTAGTCCCTGCTGCCATATGGCATCACGAAAATTGTGACCAAGTCCCAGGTTGCTGATCTGACTTTCTGCCTCGTTTACACACTATTGCTGGGTCTCAATTGTTTCTCCTACTTTGTCAACATAACATACATAATGTACTGTATATCGTTTCTCATTCTTGATTTATTTTTCTCGTTTTAGTATTTATTTATGGTTATTATTATTATCTTGAGTACCTATATTATTTTTATTTTTAGTACAGGTATTTTGTCATTATTTTTTTAATTATTATAATAATAATAATAGTTATAAATAATCATTATCATATTTTCGCCCCCCAGGCCCTGATGTGGGTCAGTGACCTGTGCCCGGGTGGGCTAATCCCCGTAAAAAAAAAAATCAAATCAAATCACCTGACAGAGTGATCAACTGAGCAGTCTGTGTTAAAGACTTTTTTTTCTCAAGAAAGTCAAGGTGTGTCCTCATTTTTCACCCCCCGATGTTGTAATCCTTGTTTATAACTGAGCCCAGACTACAGTATCACTCCCATCATTCAATCTGGTTATAAATCTTGTGTCACTCAGTCCAATCTCAGTTATTAACCTTTTAATTCCTGGGGAGGTATGGCCTCTAGGGAGATATGGCCCCTAGGAAGATATGGCTCTTGGGGATATATGACCCCTAGGAAGATATGGCCCTGGGGGTAAATGCCTCCTAGGGATGTATGGCCCCTAGGAAGATATGGCCTCTGGGAAATATGGCCCCAAGGAAGATTGGGCCTCGATAAAGATATGGCCCTAGGGACAAATGACCCCTAAGGAGATATAGAGGAAAATGGCACTTGGCATAAATAGAATTAGTGTTTAGTGGATAAAGATGATAGCTCTCCATGCTGTTCAGTCTTTTACAGTCACTCTTGTCAGGTTCCTAACTCTAATATCAATTCTTGCAACCTCACCCCATGTCGTTCTTGGCCTACACCTGGCTACCTTCTTGTGGCAATTTTGAAATCCAAAATTTTCTTAATTCATTTTTTTATATGGAGTTTGTTAATAGGATATAATCTCCAGGTGTAATATACTGTATGCTCATAGGTTTGTGTGTTGTTAGAACCTAAACCTATAATTCCAGAACTAAAATTTAGTGGTGTACATGTACTGCATAAGCTACACTCTTATGTATTTATTTCCTTTTGCAGAACGTGATGACAGATGAGAATGTGTTGGCTATGGTTCGTAACTCGGTCTTGAGTATACATGGTAAAGGCGCTGAAACGCCTGCTGTATATGAGCCAACTCTGACAAGGGCTAAAACAAAGTAAGAACTTGTTTGGGGGATTTTTTTTCTTCACTTACAAGTCGTTTTCCCATTCTGAGCCTGAGTGGCCAGAACCTAGAGCAAATACAGCCTCTGCCTTCACCTCATATAATTTATTAATGTTTTTTTTTGTGATGTGTTACTCTATGGTGTTCCCCTTCTACAACCAGCCTCATGTTGTCTTTTTTGATCAGCAGGAAAACACATAGAACAACATATATGTATTCAAATATTCATGAAAACGAAATAGTCCTCATTGTAATATGTAATGTTCAACTTAGGGTGTTTCAGATAATTTTGAAACTGAACTAGTTTATTTAGAGCTGGTATAGAAGGTCCCATTTGATACAGCCCACCATCATTTAAGAGTTAAATCCTCTTCTTAAGTTGATATACAGTACTTACCATAGTCAGAATAATTGTAGTCAATAGCATTCATTTATTGATATACATTTAAAACTTATAGGGAACTTATGGAACAGCAAGCAGCAGGAGTTGGCAGTGGAAATATTTGGGCAGGTCTCTCAAACAGCAGTGCTGGTGGTAGCACTCTCCTTAATCCTGAGACGCGTGCACTTGTGACAACAGATTTCCCTGATGAAGATGAGGATGAAGAATACAGACCTGATGCTGATGAACACGTGAGTAAATCTTGAGTAGCTTTAGTTAGACACAGTGGTCTGTTGGTCAGTCGTAACCCATTCATTATGGGGTCACCTTTATACAGAATAAAATCATTTGGTGTTAGCCAAATAAATTTATGAAAGTGGTATCCCCACAGTGATGGGGTTAAGATTAGATAGCAAAAAGAGGCCATGGTTATTCCTTTACAATGGATTGAAATAAATTTTTCTTGGGAAATAGGGAGTTGGGATAAATTCAACTATCTGTATTATTGTCAAAACCCTGAACTGAAAAGTTATATTTACACAGTACAATAAACCCTTACATAATCACTATGTATACATGTAATGCTCTCTCTTTTTGCACTACATTCCTCCCAACACAGTATAAACTCTACCATCTTTGGGTCTATGCAACAGACTTAATCCTCTATAATTTTCCAATCATTATTTTCACCATTGAAGAATTTTAATATATTTTTGCAGTGTTGAAGTGTAGTCATTAGGCTGCAATGTGTTAAAATGCATTCCATAAATAATTGACCATAGTGTAGAATACTTTAGATGGATTCATGGATTGTAAGGTATCTCGAAGTGAAAGGCTTAATATAATGTCATTCTACTGTTACCCTTTCAGTTGCACAGTGATGATGAGAGCTTAGTGTCTACTGGATTTGGTAGTGAGAATGGATCACCTACAACCCCATGCACTCCCTCAACCTCTCGTATGTCATCAAATCCCGGGTCGCGTCAGTCTCTCAACACACCACTGTCTTCCAGGTGAACATGTTACTTGTGTTTACTGCCTTACATATTGTGTCTTAATAACCGACTCTGATAAGTTGTCTGTTTTGTTTCAGTTGAGAAAAATAATTTAAGATTTGCAATGTTTTTGTTTATCATTGACATAAGTATCTGCTTATAGTGTCCTTGTAGTAAAAGTTTCACAGTAACCTGATATCTGAAATTAATTAGAGAATTATTTGTTTTTTCATAGCATAAGGGGCCTAAGTCTGTGCTTTGGTCCATTTGAAATTAAATTGCTCACTCCAAGATTTTCAGTGGGTTGGGTAATGTGAGATTATGTTAGGTTGACCTAGCTCTCTTTCCTTCATGGCAAGTGTCAATTTCTTTACCAGGAGTACCCCAGCGAATCAAAGATTATTGGCCTTCAAAACTCCAAGTGTCCAGAAGAAGAATGTTCAAAGGATACTAAATTTTGATAAAGAACCACCAAAAGAGGTTAGTTACAAATTTGAACCTACTTTGTGTGATAAAAGAAAACCGCTAATAGAAATGTTTCCTCACTCATGCAAGTCAACTAGCTCTGTGTTTGAGTCTCTGGGAAGGATTTGAATTTCCTGACTGTGAAAGTCTGTTATGACAGGGTAGAGGTTTGGTATTAAGTCCTGTATTTTCTGTTAATTTCTTAATTTATTAGAGTCCCTTGTTTGCTTGTCCAAGGTTGGATCAATGTTATCTTACTAAGAGAATTGATATTAATGAGAAGAGGCTACTGGGTAAAGGTGGCATCACTCGAGCACATAAACTGGATGTGTTTTTTATTTTTACACTGGTGCTCCATTGGTGTAAAATGGAGCAAAGAACACGTAATCCTCAGAAAATGTGGTAAAATGATGAGGAGAATGGCAAAGACATGTGTAGAGGTGACAGGAGAGTATAGCTACAGTGCTAAGATATCAAGTAGAACTATCCAAGTGAGGGGTAGCTTTTTAACCCATCGTGGTACAGTGGATAGCTCTCTGACTACTAGCCTTGGTGGTCTAGGTTTGAATCCTGACACGCACAGGTGAAATTTGTTTACGTAGAACTATCCATATGGTCGTATTCAGATCCTTACCCTACATAATGCAATACATACTAATTTCAGTTTTATTTTGCTTTTCAGGAGGTTGTGAGTCAGAGAACGCGATCAAAGTTGCCATTGACAGAAACTCCTCTAGAGTGCTTAGAAATGGCATTCAAACCTCCTGATGTGACGAAGGACATGTACGAAACTGAGGTTGATAATGAAGACTGGAAGAGTTTCCTCATCGACTTCATTCATCCTCTAAGTATGAATCGTTAGGCCTCATCTTTGCATATACAGAATAATGCAAGACTGTTAACAGTATTCAAGATCAAAGAGACTCTTTCATCATTGACGGTCATTCAGTCTATCTTAATACAGTAACGGAATGTGTTGTCCGCTGGTGTTCCCCTTTCATGACAAGCAGCATCACATCCATCCTCAGAAACCACACCATGTCTCTCAGCCCTTATCTTCATGTCTTTCTGTTAGCGTATACAACTGAACATGTATGTGAGGCGAACTGTTTGTCTAACCCTCCTTGTAGGTATTTTTTAATCAGTTTACTTAAAAGAAGTCACAGTTGGATGATTAATGAACTATAGGTTGAACCTCCATAGTCCAGCACCACCCGATGTGTGGCACGAATTTTTCTTGCTGTGTGTCGTTGTTTACGCAGTGTTTGTGATTCATTTATCTCTTCTTTAATCACTCTATTATTTAACCCCTATGCCCCGGGCTAGGGTGCCACTGGCTGTATCCCCCACACAGGGTAAATCAAGAAAAATAAAATTTTCCAAAATATTTTTTTAACCTTTTTAAATGATAAAACAATAAAAAAGAAGTAAGAAAAACTATATATTGACCCTCTAGAAACTTCCCTGGGGCAGCAGTGGGGTCACTACGCACTTATCGGCCATTTTCTGCTTGTCTTTGTGTCCGGGATGGCCAGTAATGCATATATTTACTGATCATAATACTTATTTTCAATAAATAATTCATTTGGAATATTTTATTGCAATATTTTCATATAAAGTGCTCCGCTACACACACACAGTCTGTTGCCAGGTTGCCTTGCTGTCTGGCTGTCTTTGTGTTTGGCAGAGCAAGTAATGCATATAAATAATTATCGGAATAATAATTCCACAAATAAATACATTTTAACATAATCATAGCATTATTTTCCAGTAATACTACACTTCAATACAACTACTGTACACTACTTTTAGCAATATTACTTTGATATAAAATGATAAAATGGACAACAATGAACATTAAACAAACAAAAGTAGGTACTTACGTTCAGGAAGCTTCCCTGTGGCCGAGTGTGTGGCATGACGTGCAAATAGTCACACTGGAACCTGATAACCCGCGCTGGGCATTCAAACAATGCTGAGAAAAGGCATGCATTCCGGAACGTCAACTGGGGCGTAGGGGTTGAGTTATTTCTTAGGCACTTTATCGCACCGTCTAGTTATTATTTGATTATCTAATGCCTACACACTTAATATCTTAATAAAAATATAATTATTTATATTATGACAGAGAGTACGGAAGTAGTGGAGGATGAAGAGGCTGACCCTGAATACAACATCTTGGAGGATAAAGAGGATGCATTAGATCTGAAAGAAGAAATGCGGGGTGATCGAGCCGTTCAGATTTCCAAGAAGGAATTTAATGAGCTCTTGACAGAGCTCTTTGAAACCTTAGGTAACAGTGAAGGAATTGAGTCTCTTCGAATGCATCTTTCTCAAAACACTGGTCAAAAAGAAGGAAAGAAATCCCAGTTCAAAGAATCGGAAGCATGCCAACCGAGTGAAAATAAGGTGAGGCTTTGGAATGGTGATAAATTTCAATTGCAATTGTTATTGTACATAACACTTAAATTGACAAAGAAAGGTTTTTTCCTTATTGGGATTTTCCACTTATCAGGAACCTCTTAGACCATTTACTCTATCAAAGGATTGATCTCATATTTACCAGGATTAGATGACATATGTGAGCTGCACCACAATAATATTTATTTGCAGGAGGAGGATTCATCTCCCGGAACCATCTGGGTAGAAATTTTGATAGCAGAGTTTTCCACGACCCAACTAAAAATTCTACAATGTCAGATGGTTCAACACGTCCAGTTACTGACTACATCTTCACTCATGTGCTTTGGCATCTCATCTCTTGGCAACATGGCTGAAGACTGTATACAGCACCTAGTTAGTGTTTGTGTTTTTTATGTATTATGTATGATTTTGTTTTCTTTTCTGTACAATAATATCAGATGGAAGTTTATATAATAGGGTGATGTGTATGTGAATCTTGAGGGAAAATATTTTTATAGGACATTATAATTTGAAGGGATCAATTATATAGTAAACACCAGGTTGTTCCCAATGAGGTAGATAATTGGAAACCGGAAAAAAAAATAACTAATTGCTGCTGCTGCTGCTGCTGCTGCTGCTGCTGCTGCTGCTGGGTTGACCCTAGAGCTTAGCATCAGTAAATGTGACAGCATATAAGAATATTATTCTGATTGAGCATTTCTTGTTTTTTAACCAATAATGTATTTATTTGTGATGTTTTATAAATCAGTCATTTAACTGAGAAACCATTTATAACTAACTCATTTAAAGGAGGGAGTACTGTACTCACAGTTTACTGTCCTGCTGTTTGAACTTGTTCGCCATCCGTGCTTCTCTGTTATCCTTCGTTTATCAGTAATTTTGTTTGTTAGATCTTCAGGAATGCAACCACATTGTTAAACAACGGATACCTGTATATGTGTGTGCAAAATATTAACTGATTATTTATTTATTTATTTTTTTAGGAAGAACTAGAGAGGAATGCAGATGCAAGCGACTTCAAGAACACATTCTTCCGTCCATTCAACCTAAAGCCATCTTTAGAAACTTTCAGGAATTTCAAGAGAATATCTTCAAAAGACCTTTCTAGTGAGGCACAACCGTATGTTCTATACAGATGTTTTGTATAACTAATAAACTCACAAGTTGCCATGAGCATTAAATGTTTTGGGCTGTTCTCAGAGTTTTGAGTGATGTCTTTGTCACCACGTCTGGAAAAGTTCACTCATCTTGGGTGGTGGAAGGATGTAGTAGGACAACAGGGTTCATAGAGTTCTGGTCCTGCTACAGTGGTCAGCCCCTTTACTGCTTCTGTTTTCTTCCCTCTGCTCTGGTGAGGTGGTGAAGGTCACAGCATGGAGTAGTGGTGTGGTTGCATGTAGGCTCTGACCTGCTCTGCCTTTTCCTGCATCGTCGCCTCACACGTTGACTGTGCTGAAGTATAAAAACCAATTGCGCTGAGTTCAGAATTTCAAGCCCCAGAAACAAACTGGTTTCAAATAATAATGAAAACAATCTTAATTAAACCTTAACACAAGTAATTTCTTTCGAACCTTAACGGGAATTGTCTCATTTAACTGGTGAAACAGTCCAAATAAATTCAACCTCTAACATACTATACAGGTGTGTTTGTCTCTTGAACCTGGTCTCTGGTTCATGATAGAGGAGTAGTTTGAATTCTTATCCATGAGAATCATACTTTGTGATGAGATAAGAGATGCATATTTTTAGGCCCTTCTGTACTGTGAGCTTTACCTCAGGCTGAGTCTGATGTGTTTATCAAAAATACAAGCTCTTGCCTTTTTGCTTAAGGAAATTTGTTTCAAACTTCGGAAACTAGATGGTGGGTCATGTCATTGCTTTTTCTTTTATGCAGGTAATTTAGGATAAGTTACAGTTGACACACCAGGTTAGACCACATTATTTGCTCTTAAACTATTGATCTATGGAGCCTCCAGGGCATGTATCCCCAGCATAATGGTCAAGGGCATTGAGCCTTATGTGTCTGACCTCAGGGGAAGTGTGGCCTTCTTAGCCTTTCTTCAAGGATGTCATCAAAGCCAAACCTGTAAACCACTGCATGAGCATTGACAAAGGCCCCCTCCTTTTTTAAGAGGCTCGGGTTATCCTGAGGAAACACTGATTATTTTCCATAGGGAAGATCCCTGTAGGCGTAGGATACCTTGAAATTAGGTCTCTTGATTATCCAATTTATCATTTGGTAATGGACTGCATTACTTAGATTACCTGTATATGAGAGTGATACATATTACAGATGCATTTTAAACTTAATTTGATACTAATCATCAACGGTCATTGATCGAATTAACACTGAAAGGGCTAACATTATTAAATTTGGGGTTATGATGATTACAGATAGTACAGGTATTGGGTTTTGGGGAAACAACAGTGTAGTGAATAAAGGAAATGACATGATAAATTTGTGGGAATTGGCAGAATTTCAGATATATTCATTGATGTTATTACATATAAAGGATTAATTGAATAAGCTTAGAAAGATTATTTGGTAACTTATTTTATCTAATAAGAAATTGTGCATTAAACCTAAAAAAGAATTACAAATGAACTTTTAGTATTCTCTAATTTATTATTTAAATTTTCACAGAAAGAGTTCAACATCAGATGTGAATCCATTAGTTGTTAAAACAATAATGGAATCATCAGCTTTTCCATACCCACATCTGCTCCCAACACGTACGTTTCAGGGGCCAAATGCACGTCGATGCAACAAAGCAAATTTTGTATCAACTGAGGATATGTGAGTATTGATAAATGATTAGGAAAACTAGTACAGTAAACCCTCGATAACTCGGCACATATGGGGCTCTAGCCTTGCCGACTTATCCCAAATTCCGACTTATCTAGGTATTTTTCCCCTCCTACAAAAATACAATAAAAAATTATCGACCCATATATGTGTACAGGTACATATATAATTACTAAATGTAGAAAAATAATATTTACCAGCATTGCAGGTGAAGAATGAATCATCATAGTAGGTGACACAGAGGTATGGTAGGTGGTCAGGTTTGCCGAGATTTTCCCAGATAATTTTATATACAGTACCTGTATCTCGGCATTTCCCGAATTTTACTAATACATTCCGTGATCACATCCATGCAGAGTTATATGAAATTCCGAGCTATCGAGGGTAAATGTATGTATAACTTGGGAGTGGCTGTATCAGTAGATAGGGTAATGAGTAGTGAATTAATAGCAAAGGGATAGAAAATGATAAGTTACTTGAGTACTGTATTGTAATGTATTGAATAAAAGCCATATTCAGGGAGGGGGAGGTGGGATGTGTGTGGGGGATTTATGGATATGAAGTATGGTAAGTCGCCCAATATTACAAGAGCCTCATAGTTAAGATACATAACCAGAAAATTCCCACCAGATTATCCATACCTTATAACTACTGAATAAGGCTACAACAAAGTCCATTAACTTTTTAGTAAATTTAAAGATATAATTATGTATGTCTGCTTCATCCTTTATAAAAAGTATGGAGGAGGCTATTGCATAACATTGTTTCATATCTTCTCTTCTCGTCATCTGTGCAACTGTTTAACCCTGCATAAATTAGTTGCTAAGTCTTGAGTATGTTTATTTGTCTTTTATGTCACAAGCCAAACTGTTAACACTTGTTGGAACTAATGAAAGTATTTGTATGAAATTATGAGATGCCTCTAATAAACTCTCATACACTTTTCTCTTCTTACTCTTTTAACCTCAGAGGCTGCAGGTAATGTTATATGTTCTTCCTCTCCCAAAGGCTACCATTAATATCAATTCTTACTCATAATTGGTTCATTCTGTTGTTACGATACATAGATAACTTTCCTGCTATCTCAACTATCATTTTTAAGACCTTTACCCTATTAATTTTTCACTTATAAAGATTTGATTATAACAATATCTCTTGCTATTTCAGACTGATTACTATAGGCCTGCAACAATACTTGGATCCTAAATATTGGTATGATACGTGTAGGAAGGTCCAGTACCGACAATTGTTAGAGGCCCTTGATCAAACAGTCAAGAGCATTTTAGTGTCAAAGACATTAAGTCAAGCTACCAATAGGGTCAAAAATATCCGAAGCCGAGCCAATGATGCTCCAAATAATCCAGTATTGGTAAGTACAATAGCTACTTCCTGATTCCTTGGGGCGGTTTTGTTTTATTTTCCATTATTTTGATTTTCGTTTAACCTTTTACCATTTATTATCTCTGGTGCCTTATGACCTTAGCTGTTAGTGCTAAGATAGTGTTCATAGATCATTAAATCTTGATCCATGGGGTTGGGTGTAAAAAAAAAAGACTATTGAGATTATAATGATTGACACACTGTAAATCATTTAGTTACTCCTATGGTAAAAATAAAGATACCTGGTACGATACTGTATATTCCCAGTCCCAAAATAATCCCTCCAAATTCACTTTATAAGGGAAATAATGATGAGTAACAAATAAATGCTTTCAATAATTAAGAAAAAAGACATGTACATCCAAGCAAGGGTGGACAAGGAGCCAGGGAAGAAGGGGTCAGAAAGGGGTGATAAGAACGGGGGACAGGAACACCGAATCCAGGATTTGATTGATCATCTTTTGTAATTGGATGTATCGGAACTGTCTAGTATGAATTGTAGAAGCCAGTAAAGTTAGATTTATTAAAAATAACTTTTTTCTGGCAGAACCTGTACCCAGATGGCTTGGATGCCTTCCCTCCTCCTATTCCTGGGTTTTGCAGCTTAGTTTGTTAGGAACTGAGTCTAAAATGGCAAAAACAAGATGGCAGAGTCATACCTTATGACAGGATATGTGCTGATTGATCAGACACAGCTACAAACAGACCATGTCCATTTATTTTGGGCTGATGTTCCAATGGGAAGGTAGGGGTGGTTTATTTGCCCATTGGAATTAACACGTCTCCCTGAACTGCTGACTTGTGGGTTGTCCAAAGATACAAAGAGACCCAGTTTATAGCCTGTATTTGAGAACCAATCTGGATACAAATTTTACCAGAATAGAGAATTCCTGGGATGGGTCCAACTTATGTACAAAACAGTAAAAACAGGAAACATCTCATCTCCCCAGAAAGTTTGGCTAAACACTCTTTATCTTGTTTACATCAAGTTGTTTACCTTTATCAGACTTTTGATGATTACTATTATATGTATCAATCTTTATTCTTGGAAATTCTAAAGCAATAACTCGGTGTAAGTTAATGTAGAGGCTCTTACAATATTCTGTTTTAAACTTTTGCTTTCCCATTTTTACCTTACTTAATTAAAATGCCAATTTGTATGATTAGATACTGAGAAATATATCCATATTCATTTGGAAGAGGCATAGATAACTAGAACTTATCAAATTAAGCAGAAATGTTAAGAAGCATAACTCATCTGTTTCCTCAGATGATGTCGAGTAATTATTTAAGATATTGTCTGAAATTCCAAGCCATCCATCAACACTTTTCTTCTTCAAAATTACTGTTCTACTTTTATTAACTGTTCTTATTTCTTTGACAGAAATTCCTTGAAACTGGCAAATTGGATCTTCCCCCAGCAGAAGTAGAGACATTACTACCTTGTGTACCCTGTTCTGTTCAAGACTTCCCAGAGACATCTTTGCCAAACCCCTTCCAAAAACAGGTGAAAAAAAGAAATGCATCTCTCAGAAAAACCCTGCAAGATGTAGCTTCAAAGGCACTATTAGCTTGTGAGGCAGAAAAAAAAGAAGCAATCTATAGGGGTGCCGGGTCACGAAAAAAACTGGTAAGTATTGTATTAAGTTTATGTAATTCATCAAGTTGGGTTTCTGTGATTTATTATTGTTGTTTGAGTTTTGGGTGCTTCAACTGATAGGGTTATTGAGCATTTTTCATGAGAGGGGCAAGTGGATACAGACTTCATCTCGGTTCAAGGCATTGCCATATCAGTAAGGCAACACGTGTCTTATGATTATTGTTACTTTAGGTTTGCTTACGTGTTTTACCAATTCTAAAATCCAGGTGAGGATTGTTTTACTATGTGAGGTTTTTTCATCAGTTTCACCTTCACTTGGCAGGAATGATCACATGTGCCTTTGTTAAGGTATTTTGTATTCATTTTAGCCAGTGTAATAGTGCTTTTTATATTACATTAATTTTTTTTTTTAACACACCTTACATTTTGTTATTTATTAAAATCTACAGTGATGTTGGATAGTCCAGTTTTCTTCTTGGAATAGAATCTTCTAGATATGGGAGCTGGGCCTTATAGGAGCTAGTCTAGGAATCTCATTTACTGGACTCCAATTAAGGTAAATGGAAAAAGGTCAAAAGGGGGTTTATTTTTAGTGTAACTAGACTTTTTGTCATTAAATGATAACATCCCTGGGAGACCCTTTTCATTTTCATTTCAGACGCAGAATATTTTGATCGTTCAGTCATCTGGTGGAAGTAATCAGCTTCTTATACCACCTCAGGCATCAGAATCACTCAAGTCAAGTGTTGTTCACCAGTCTCCTGCAGGCAGTGTCTCAAAATTAAGTCTTGGCAGGATGCCAGATATGCCATCACCAAGTTGCAGTGAACAAATTGGTAAAAATAATCAGTCTTGTTCTTTTGGTAATCTTTCTACTGCACCAGACACTCGTAGTAATCAGTCTTCTCATGGGAATATCTTATTTGGGAAAACTGGAAATACTGTGGCATCTTCTTTAGTGTCGTATAGTGACGGAATACTAGGTGGAGTGTCTGTGGATTGTTGTCGAGAAGTAGCAAGAACTGGGGATGATGTTGGAAAAGTGAGCTCTTCATCTCCCCGCACAACTTTAGAATTGAACTGCCAGTCATCACGTGTAGAACTGAAAGAGAAAACTAATGTGAAGGAGAGCAGCTCAGGGTGTGCTATAAGTGATACTCCAGATGATAACCACGAGGAAGTACGTGATGGAGAAATAATGGACGATACTGGTTGTGATGATGGTATAGCAAGTGATACAGATTCTTTACCTGACCTAAATAAAGAATCTAACCAAAATGAGCCTGAAGGTGAAGTTAGAGAGACTATTGAGAAGCAGGATGTTGATCCAGCAGTTGATATAATGCAAAATGAAATCGACATGAGCATCCTACCTAGAACCCCCCAGAAGTTACATTCCAGTATATCACCTAGCAACTTATCTTTCCTTGACATGCCTTCTCTTCTGACCTCTGTACATAAGTCTGACCGTAGTGATTCATCAAGTGTTTCCTTTAATCTGTCACCACTTCATACTCCATCTCCACACAAATCTCTTAACACACCTGTGAAAGCAATAGAAATTAAGCAAACAGATCTCTTGCCTGTGTTTGAAAAGGAAGAGAGGAACTCAAGCCATATTTCCACCTTTTCTAAAAATCCCTTGGATTCAGTAGCAGTGTGTACATCTACCGCACCAGTAGTGTTACCAACTGCTACAGATGGTTCATGTGAGCCAAGTGTTCAAGTATGTTCAACAGAGCTGACTAAAGGAACAAGGCACAACAAGCAGAAGGTGACTCAGAATATTAATGATAATTGTAAAACCAAGTCTTTAGAGAAAAGTAATACAAGTGACCCAGATGTTCAGCTACAGAATCCATGTGGGACAACAGAAAACTTATCACAAATGAACACAGCATCACAGAACCCAGCTAACCAAAGCAACAGTGTAACATTAGTGACTTCAGTTTACCAAAGTCCTATTAGCTCTTCTGGTGTTGGTGAAGCAAGTCCAATAGATTCACTAAATATCTCTCTACAAAAAACAAAGCCATCATACCGAAGGATTTCACCTGCAAAGGGTTTCAGGTCACCCATGAAAACATCACCTCTAAAACAAGTTTCGCCCATTCTACGCAAATATCACAAATATTCCCCAAAGAAGAGACGCCCGGTGTCAACCAAGAAACTTTCTCCAATTCTGCCCAAAATATCAGTAAGTGAATAATACAATAATATCGTTTTGTCTTGTTTCTGTTTTTAATTTCAGACAAATTAGCTTTTGAATACTACCTACATATAATAACTAACAGCATTGTTACCATATATATTGTCCAAAATGCACTGTACAGGTATTTGAAAAATGAGTTACTGATCTGTGGGAATACTTATAATAGATGCATAACTGTATTCTATAAATTTGTTCTGTATTGCAGCGTCGGCCAAACCCTTTACAGAGAAGATTGGCACCTAAACCATCCAAGTCTTCATCAACAGTGCAAGATGGTGTGAGAGGAAGACATTCTAGAAGAACTACACGGTATCTCATTCATAATTTAATCCTTCCACTTCCTAGTTTTGAAATTGATTAATCTTTTAACTTGGTAAAACTTGCTATTGTATGAGGATTGAGTACTGTAGTGTGTGTTCAACTTGGGTGTCTGGAAGCTATTAAGATACTTTAACAAACTAAATTATTATTTTACATTTACAGAACAGAAAGTTTTCTTCATGGAAATAAAGAAACAGGTGATGGAGATCTTTTACAAATGGAGGACGAACTCATGGAGACTAACACTTCCATTGACTCTACCCGTAACCTCTCTCAGCCTGGCACAGTTCATCAGTCTGAGGAAGAGTTTGAAGGATATTCACTGGAAGATGAGGATGAAGAGGATGAAGATGAGGAGGATGAGGATGAAGAGGAGGAAGAAGAAGAGGATTTGGAGGCTGCACAGGTGAGATAAATGTGTAGAAATAAAGGAGAAAAATATGATAGGAGAGATTATTAGCAAATTGATCCACACAGTGATAACCAAGTCACAAACGCTCATGTAATTTTATTTTTTGCTTATGGGAGTCATTTGTTGTAAACTAAGATGTGATACTTAGTACAGTAGTTACTTTTCCTCTCTACTGTGATGGAGAAATTTAGAGCAGCTATCATACAGGATTAGATGGATGGCCATATAAAATTCACCTTTGCTTTTTTGACTAGTCAGCTGGAGTTGAAGGATGAGCGATCTGTCAGACCCAATTTGTTCATTTAAGCATATGTAGTATTTACTCAAAGTAGATTTAAAGTGAGGAAGCTAATATATTTTAGATTTGATGTCCCAGAATCCTCACTGGTCTTTGAATCAACGTTGATCATGGAACCCAGTGATCCAGTGCCAAATAGGAAAGTTTTTTTTTTTTTTTTTCATTTTACAGCTTTGTCCTTTTTGGTAGTGTAACCGGCCATTGAATTATATGGCTTCTCTGTAGGGCAGCAGAGAGGGTGTTATAGTTCTGATCATTCGTCCCCATCATATGGTCATAGAATGGGATTTCATACTGCAGTCCTTCATATGTATCACCAATCAGTAATGTCCTCACTTTGAATATAATTGTTTAAATTGAAGATGAGAAAGGATATTGAGTAGATGTAATCAAGGAAAGGAAGGATCATTTTCATGTGTGATATAATTTTTCAGCAAAGAGAGGAGCATCTGGCAGCCCTATTGAAGGCTTCATCTACCATAGCCTTGAGAAGAGGCGGTGGTGGAGATGGATTTGATAAAAGACTGAATGGTGTAGGAGATGTGGCTCAAGGAGAGAGAAGACTAACAAAACAACAAAGAAGACTTCAGGCACGCATTAGTGCCCTTTCTTATTCACCAGATACTGTGAGCCAAGACAAATGTAAGTACAGTAACTTAATCTTTCACACACACACACTCACTTTATTTTTTCCGACTGTAATGCAGGGTGTGTGTGTGTGTGTGTGTGTGTGGTGGAGGGAGGGGAGGGTGGATGGGTTTTATTATTATTTTTTTTACACTCATGTAACCTTGTCTTCTTACTTCACCCAGAACTTATAAATGCAACTGATCTCAGAGTTTTGGATATACTTTTAGTTAAGCTGGCCAATGAGTTAACTGCATTTTGTGTGGCTTCCTTTCTACATTTTTTATACACCAGTTTATTCCTTTCAGTCATGGCTCAAAGTTTCCTGATGCGAGTTAGAGAGGCATTAGTGGTGAAAGATCCTTCAGCGTTTAAGGAATTCTTGTGTATACTCAATGAGTTTATAGAGACCCCTTCCAGGAGTCCACTTCAACTGTATTATCAGCTGTCTGAGGTATGTTTGAGTATTGATATAAAGAGCCTTGGTAATCAAATTTGTGTTCCCAGGTGGCCTGTTATACACAGTGATATCCCCGTTAGCCGGAACAATTGGTGCAGAGCACTTCTGGGAATGAGAGATTTCCGGGTAACGAGACGACTCTCTCAAAGCCGTAAAAAAATCCCCCATCCCCGAAATTTTCCGGGTATCTGGAAAATTTTCTCAGAATTTTCCGGAAAATGTGCCCCATGGAAAATAATTCCCAAAGCCGAAATTATCCTGAAAATTCCTGCTTAGGGAACATTTTTCTGAGAAAATTTCAATTCCGGCTATCGGAGAGTTCTGGGTTTGAGGGATTCCGGCTAACGGAGATATTACTGTCCACTATATTATATTGTATTAGTTTTTCCCCAGTAGGTTTGAAACTGACTCTTGGCTTCCATTTTCTTTCTTCTTATTTCTCAATACTGTACACAATACTGTACTGTACTTGTCACTGACCAGAGGAATAATAGTTTGGTCCCTTGTTGATGGCACCATCAACATGACAACAATGGCTCCCACCAAGTCTAATTTACCTTGTTGAAACATCTTGTGTACTCAGGATGTACACATAGTTATTTCTCTTTTTGTTTTTCAGGTTTTAAAAGACTATCAACATCTCACTGAGGAATTTGTGTCCTTCCTTCTTCCTCAGCAAGCAATGGCAATTGGCAAATATCCTCAATATTGTGCTATTCACAGGATGAGGGACTTCCTTGAAAAATTAGAGGTTTGTATTATTTTGTACAAATGCATTACAGCATATAAGTCATGTCTAAATACATACCATGATCATTGCATACTTGCATGACAAGTGAATTATTCCAGGTGTGATTCCTGGCTGTAGTAGAGGATTGGGTTCACTCCTTGTACACTTGGCAAGGAAATAAATACATAATTGGGTGTGTTTAGTGGACAAGCATCTTACCAAGAGGATAGGGTAACCCATTAGCTTCTGAATGATGGTGAAACAACCCTTTAGTAGACTAGCATCCTGCCAGAGGAGTAGATTAATTCACTATCTGCCAAGATATAGCATTTATCATTAAAATCTAGGGTCGTCAGGCTCTATTTACCATAGTTAAATAATGTTGTGGTTCATTTTCAAAGTTTTTTGTAAATTATTAGCTAAGAGGACCATGTTAAGATTAGCTATTATTAACTCTTACTGTAATTTAAATCTTTTTTCAGTTGCAATTCTGCAAACAACCAAAATATATTCAAAAAATTATCCGGCTTCTCCAGTCCATGCAGAATTCATCTGATGTGAATATTGAAGAGGTGAAAGCTGCCATGACGCCCCTCCTCAAGTATCCTCACTTAGTGGAATGCTTTATTCAGTGTTTCCCCTCACAACCTCCAGCTCCAAGGTGTGTGGTTTGTCAAACATAAAATATACTTGAGTCTTGTGTATTTTGGAGATAGACTTACTACTGTGTATTACAGTAGGAAAACACATAAAAAAACCACTGCTGGTGAGATAGGTTAATAGATATGTGGCACTGGATGTTTCAGCATTACAAATTAGGTCTCCTTGTACTCATAGATTAATCTCTTCTAAAAAAACAAATTTACACACTTCCAATGCTTACTTTTACCCTTACACATTCCCTTGCTTAGCTCAGCCATAAAACAATGTGGCAGGATCAACCACGTCAGTTTTAGTTACATGAGCCTCCAGGTCAGACACTCCCAATGGATGCAAAGCTCTGCCCCATATTATTATTTTATTTATATTATTTTTTTTTCATTTTTTGTTGTGTTTTACTGGTGGTCACACAATCCTTGGTACATCTCTCTGAATTTGTGATATACTTGACATGAATGTTTACATATTTTAGTGATGTAGAATTGGGCTACATAGAGTCTGTTCCAGGTCAGTTAGAAAACAGGATTTCAGGATCAGTTCCACAGATTTTTCATACATTTTATTTACTATTTTAAATGGCCATTGTGTCACTTAATTGACAGAATAATCATATGATAAAATTCTTAGTTCATTGTTGTGTCATGGATTCATACAGGTGTGGATGGTTAGTAGCCTTAATGAATGGTTGCAGTTTTGCTAGCACAGTGCTGTTTACAGTGTCAGAAGGGATGATAATGACTCTGTATATGTTTATACTGTATACTATTGTATCAGACAGCTACTTACTGACAATTTCTATTTTCCAGCTTACCAAGTGATTTTGAAGACATATCAATAGACCATCCAGGAACTCCTGACAGTATGGAGAGTTTGGTTTTACCAGATGATGATAACACCCCCCCAAATCACTGCATGTGTCCATGTCATATTCCAGCCTCCGGCTCACCAAACAGTAACACAGGGACCCAGCAAACTCTACCCAATTCTGGACGCATGGATCACTGTAGTTCATGTGCACTAAGGGTCTGTATTCTTTTTATTTGTATTTATTCTTTTGGTTTCTTTTAAATGTACAGTCTCTTTCAAGATTCTTCAAACACTGCTGGAAACAGCTGGCAACTCAAGGCCGTTTGTTTACTATAGTACGTAGTATAATATAATACGAAACAACAAAGCTCAATCATTAATTAAGCAAACGGCCTTGAGTTGCCAGCTGTTTCCAGCAGTGTTTGAAGAATCTTGAGCGAGACTGTATGTAAATGTATATAGTATAGCGAATGGGAAACAGTCGTGTGTATGTATAATTAGAATGCAAGATGTTAAGTACAGTAGAGTGTAAGTAGAGACGAATTGCTGGTGTGAGATGTAAAGGTAAAGCTGCTCAGTAAAAAACAGTACACATCTTCACATTCCCTATTTTTGACAAATAAACAGTTGTTTATTTTGTGGGATTTCTACTCTACTGTACTGTATAGTACATGAATTTTAATATTACTTTTATAAAAGAGATAGCATTTAATAGATTTATTGTTATTATTATCAGATAGTAAGTCAGAGAAATACTTACCTATACACTTGTTACAAATTAAGGTATCAGATGTACTATTTTATTATTTTTGTTTATTATTATTATTATTTTTTTTTTAGTTTTCAGAAGGTCGGATATATCTTCAGTGTGGTAAAACACTCCGCCCTGCCAAAGTAACGTACCAAACACCAAATGTTAAGAAGGAGGAATTTGATGACAAAAATACTCACAATCAAGCAAATGGAGGTAATGGTCAGACTGCAACGGACTTGAGTGAAACATCCACCAAGAGCAAAAGTTTAGGAAAAGGGAAGCTTTCGCAAGCCAAAGACCCAAGTGAAAACGTACCCATGAGAAACAAAGAAAATGCAAATAAAGTGGCGTCTGGGGGCAACCCAAACAGTACAATGCATGGGACTGCGTTAAAGAGTAGAACAGTAGTGTCATGTGAAGAGAAGTCTGCCAAAGAAGATACAGGTGTTCAAGTTGAGAATGTAGATGGTGTTATCAGAGGCAGAGGTGATAATGTGGACACTGCCAAGGATACTTCTAATAGCAGAAATCATGAAACCATATGTGGTAAAAATGAAAGCGTATCGGATGGAAAAATATCTTATACAAAGAAAACCTGTGCGAATAAAGGTCACGAGAGGTTAGAGGGTAACACAAGCGTTGAAGCTTTCGTTAGGTGTGCCAGTCACTGTAAATCAGGCTTCCCTCAAAGTGGTGTAAAGGCTAGTGCTGGTGGTAGTGTTGAAAATTCAAGCATCTCTCTCAGGAACAAAAATTCATCAGGGCTTCCTTATTCCTCTCCAAAAGAAGTTTACAATGACAGTTCCATCGCACCTTCTTGCTCAAATATAAACTCTTTTCGTATTTTCGGTACAATGAATGAACTTGGTCAGAAAGTGAGCGTGTTAGATGAGCGAGAGAAACCCAGTGCTGGTGCTGTCATTATCACAGACAAGTTTGAGTTGCAGAAGGAGTATAAAGCAACCATTTGCCATGTACCACTCACAGCACTTCATACTAAAACAGTGGAAACTCGGGAAAGCTCAAATGCAGAAAAATCATTAAATGAAGAACTGTCCGCAAATAGTAATGTAGATAATCAGAATGCTGGTGGCGCATCCCAAATTTATTTCTCACATTGCAGCTCTGTAAAAAGCTCAAAAACAGCCACAGAAAGAGACTCACAAACACCAGAAAGCTTATCAAGTGTATCCTCATCATCACATAATCAATTTTCCAGAAAACATTCTAGAGTTGAAACAAAAAGGCGAATGAAAAATATAACGGAAGATTTGGATATCTCGCCAATAAAGTCATCATCATCATCTTCGGCGAGTTTGTTAAATGATCCATTTTCATCTGTAACTCCTTCATCTTTGAAATATGTCGGCTGGACCAAGGATGAGGATCGAATGATCCTGACACTGGTACAGCAGAAGGGTGCAACTGATGCTGTCTTTCAAGAAATAGCTGATGCTCTTCCTTCAAGAGAGTATCATGAGGTTAGTGGGTTGCTTGGGTTATGTGTTGCTGATTTAATAATAATAATTCATTAAATGTCAGATTATCAATTGCTGCTTGAAACAGTTTCAGGCTCTCTATAAAAAAAATCACATCCCAATTTACTGCACATTAACTACAAATACTCCTCAGTGCATATACTACAACATTACATGTGTTTTATAATATACATACTCTAGTGTATATACAGGGTTTTATTCTGCAGCCACTGTACTTATGGAGAGAAAACAAAGGAGTGTAGTTGATATAGCCTCAGTTCAATCCTCTTATCTTAACAGATTCCTGTTAAGTCAAATTTTAATGTAACTTCTCTCTGTGTGCATATGAAGTGGAATCCCATAATAGGAAATTAGTGACTGGTATTGTTAGATTAATAGGATTGAACAATACAGTATTATGAAAGTTGAGGTGTGAAGCATTTGACTCCTTGCTCATGCTTGAAGATAGGTAAGACAAGCATGAGGACAACTGGTCTGCTGCTTTGGCAATATAAATAATTAAATTGGGGAGAGACATTGAGGATTATTATAACCTGTGCCCGGGGATGGCAACCAGAGTTATACACCATTCCATATATTTGCAAAACACCATTTGCAGCCTTTAAATAGCAAGCATCACTTTGTCCTGTGGCAGCTCACTGACATTTGGCATTAGCTACATGGAGTTCTTCTGTATTGCATGGGATCCTGCATTTGTGTTTTAATCTGCACATTTTGGAAAGCTACAGGCTGACCCGTGTCAGACTGGGGTGAACAGTTTTCAATTTGGCTTTGATGGGACAAGTCTCAGTTGTTGAGTTGTTAAGTTTTACAGTACATAAAAAATTTGAAGCACAAAATCGGTAATTTTTCTTGTTACAGGTATTGGAACGCTTCAATATCTTGGTGAGGCTGATGATGGAGGAAACAGATGTTGAAGACACCTTGTCCATCAGTAGCGAAGACAGTATGATCTAGTAGTCAGAGGCAGTGGTACAAAGAGAGTGGAGTTATATACAGTATATTTTATATTACAAAATATTTCCATTAAAGTTTTCCATTTGGAGTGTTTGTTTTACATTCATCTTTATTGTTAAGTGATTACAAACAATTGTACAGACCTTGTTTTAAGAAATGAAGACACATAATAAACTGTGTATGAAATTTTAGTTCAGTCGCTTCCCCAAGGGTTTCTAACACCTCTGAAGAAGGTCTTTGCCATCTGTGATTAGGGTTGTGCCTTCATTATTTTGGTGGTAGTGGCGTTCCAAGAGGGAAGAATACATTACCGTGCGCTTATATTAGGACAGCTTTGTTCTTTCTTGCTGTACCTTCCTACCACTTTAAGTTTTCAAAACAAACTCTGGAGTGTAGACGAGGCTGTCTCGTGTCCTAAGGTCTGCTTTGGGTTGGCTTTTCCTGTGGATCAACTTCTTTGATGCATGAAGTCATCATATGTCCAGATCATGCTTACCAAACCAGTCATGATATTTCTGCTTCAGATGGCCAAGAACCTTTAGTTTATGCATTGTAGACTTTGTCCTCTAGAAACTGACCAGTGTCTCTTAATGTCCCCCTGTGTATGATCTAGATTTTCAAATTTCCAAACTCTGCTTTAGTATCACGCATCAAGGTTTCTTTGTCCAGGGATGATAATTGAAAGAACATATTTTAAACAAAGGCTGACTACTGAATGATAAGCACTGTACAGTAACAGCATGCATATCAGCTAAAGTCAAGCTGCAGGGGTACTGTGAAAAAAATATGAAGGAAATTTTTACACATTTACAAGAGAGAGCACACCCTGAGTTTATGTCAGATATCAAAGTAATAATGAAAATACTGTATGTTTTTATTACCAATTTTCTTATCTCGCTAGCTTATTTTGCTATGCTCAATGCTCCCAATGTTATTAAGTCTATAAATTGGCTTTCAATATGTTCACATTCTCCTACAATCACCATATAACTTACTCCTTACACTCACTAAAGACAAGTACTGTGCTGTACAGTAGACTCGTCTACCCCCATGCACACGGTCACTCGGCCATTTTCCTTATTGTCCAATTTCCCCTCATGTATAATCTCATAATATGTGGAAAATTAAATGAAAAATTATTCGTTATTCTTAAATTTCATATGCTAATTACTTAAACACACTCCTAGAAGTATCTTTACGGAGGGGTCCGATAAATTTAAAAATGAACACTGCGACTCCTGTTGTCTCGGTAGGGTTGTCAAAATCCTTCATCTGTTGTCATATTGTCTAACACAAAATTGTAAAGATACTTTTTGGAGCACGTGTACAATAAAGATGTAAAATTGAAAATATGGAATTTGGAATTGAAGAAACGGTTGGAGGCGTGGAGAATCCCGGCAACACGCGGGGTAGGGTGAGTAGAGCGTCAACTATGCTGTAGAGTACTGTACTGTACTGCATGTATTTCACTTAATAATGGGAGTCTGGGAAAATGTGTTTCAGTTTATGGAAATCGACTCATTTGGGGAACAACTGCCTGTACAGTACTATTATATCCACTTGTAAAGCTATACATGTAGACATAATGAATGTAAAAATTTTATTTGTGCCTCGTGCCACAGAAACAAGATTGTTCAAGACGTTTCCCATATTAGTTGATCTACACAGAGACTTGACTCGGCATGGTAGGGTAGACTTTTTAGTTGAGGTTGGGATCAATAACAAGGAGTGTGTGCTGCTGGAAGGAATGGTCTGTCATTAGTGTTGAGTAAGAAGAGGATAGTAAGAACTGAGTTACGGGTTACTACAGCATTGATATGAAAGTAATGTAGCAAGAATGTGATGCATCATAAGTGAATTAAGGTTTTTTTTTTTTTAAGAGGGGATCCAAAAAATTTAATTAAGCCATTGTTGCCCGAGAACACCAGGGAATGGATCTTAAAATTTATAAAGAAGTCAATAAATTGGAAGTACAGTTCTGTATCGAGTACTGTACTGTGTATTTCAGCCACAACCAATTTTCAAAAGATCAAACAAGAATTACAAACAATGAAAGACAGTAATACTTCACATATTGTAACAGTATCAAGTGCTGTAAACCACAGACATTGATTATTGTATATATCATATTGGATTATAAAGTATGATGGTTTGATTGATAGATAGATGTTTATTCAGTAAAATCCTTACATAAATTCACATTGATTCAGCATTTACATAAACAAATCAGGTATATAATCTACATAGTGCAGTTATATTCTTAATAGGAGTTAAAGTGATTAGGTAACACTAGGGTAATTTATTTTTTCGTTTTATCTGATGTATAAATGAATAGCTCAGTGGTAGAGCCCGTGCATAGTGAATCAGTAACTGCATTCATGACTTTCTGAACATCACTGAATAAACAAGAGCTGTGGAGCAAAACTGAACACTACTACAGAATTAAACTTTAACTCATGGATACAGTTCAGCTTCATTACTTGATATGCACAAGTTTTCATCTCGAATTAATCTTCAATATTTTTTATTTATAAAAACATCCCTTCTTATTCACAACATTGTAAAGAAGCTTGAAGGGGGAGAAGTCAGAGTAGGAAAAATGCTTGCAAGCGATCATGATATTAGACATTTATATCTTGTTCCATGATGAAAATACTGGATTGATTATATAAAGTCGAAGTAAAATATATATATAAGCATTGGAGAGGCACTTGTACTGGTAAATACACTTTGATAACATTATTAATTTATCAAAGTGTGTAGTTATTGATCTTTTGTATATTGTACCTCATACCGTGTGCCTACATGGGGCTGTTGTCATGGAGGGGGCCACTAATGAGTCACGTGATGCCACCATTGATATATTAAATATACCTGCCAATAAATCGATAAACCTTTGGTGAGCACAAGTGACTTAAGGTATTTTTAGTGTCACATTGTATTTCTTTTTGTATTATTTCTCATTAATAATTTCATTTATATGCAGTACTGTACTTGAAATGAACCAGGGCGTTTGATTTACCCTTTATCAGGTAAACCAAATAGAGGATCATGTTTATCGATAATTAATTTGGATAATCCACACGATGACATCACATAATACTGACCAATGAGAGAGAGATTTTATACGCTATTGGTCATCGAGGGAGTAACGTCATAAGATATTGACCAATGAAAGAGGAGGGAGGGAGCTGGATACATGTGAAGGTTCCAGAGCGGCGACCAGAAGTAAACAAGCATGGCAGATGTCAAGAGTGGGCAGGATGCACCTCCAGCTATCATCCAACTTGTTACTTTGGGTGATATTACCACCATGAGGAATTTACTACTCAAGGGTGAAGCCAAGGTGAACGACACGGACAGTAACGGCATGACAACCCTCCATCATGCTGCTTATAAGGGAAATACTGACATGTGTAAGATGCTGCTTGCTCATGTAAGTATAGAGATGCTTCAGTAATCTTGTATTTAAAGGGAGTAAAATCACAAGTGAGTTTGTTTAAGTCTGGGAACTACCTGAAGTACTACAGTATCAGATAATGATCTACCTATATTTGGGTGTTTTGTGTGCTATGAATCTCCCAAAATGTAGCATTTCCTTATATTTTATTATATAGTTTAGAAATGCGGTAAAGGCGTAAGGTGACCACCAGAAGTTGTTGGATTATTTTACTTTCGGACATGGTGTGCCCGAAAGTTATAAACTACTTAAACATTTAGATCCCCATATTCTGAGCATTTTGAACCCCATATATACATGACGGAAGTGGATGATAGTGATACAATTGAATTTAATTGCTTTTAGGAACTTTTTAGTCTTCGTCTGTTAGATGTTACCGCAGGCAGGCACAATATTGACTGACATCCAGTCGTGACCAATGATGTATCGATATCTACCTGCAAATTTTTTTTTACCACTCACATTTGCATTTTTCAAAGCAGCTTGGGTAAGGTTTTGAAAATCTATGGCTTGGAAATTCAATGACCAGTTTAACAGTGGCTGTAGTCTAGATTGGGTGTCAATCATGCTCCTACGATTATTTTAAGTTTATTGTTGAGTTTTACGAAAAAGACGATAAAGCTATAGAATTCCTACGTAATCACGGTGTTCTCCCTAAGACTGTTGAGTGCCAACACTGTAAATTTAGAAGGACAAGCATCAGTGGTTTTGTAATAGGCCAAGAAGGGTTATAAAGAAGATATAAACGAAAATTTGTAAATACGTGATCTCGGACTTTTAACTATGGTATTGTGCTTTCGGACATGGCACGGCCCAAAGGTTAGGTTAGGTTAGGTGTTCTCCACCCAAAACCCTGATTTCCCAGGTTTTCCCCCATTATCGTTGGGTGAGTGGAGAGGATATCAATTTCCGACAAAAATGAAGGTCATATTCGTTTAAAACACACACAAATACACAAGAAAAACAAATTGATCAACCCTTAGGGATTCATGTCCGAAAGTAAAAATTTACCACTTTCTATTATAATTTTAAGTATTTTGTTAGGATTTTTTTTTTATTTACTCTATCACGCTTCACAATTCTCCTCCTGGCGCCATTTTTGTTGTTTATCTCGCTGAATCCCTTTTCAAGAGATGTTTCCTAAATGATGGTGAACGCTTCCACGTATTCCTCCTCGCCATTGCTGATGTATATCAACCTCAATATTAAGGTAAGTATTTTAACTCAATAAATTAACACAATAATGCATAGAACCTGAACCTAACAAACCCATAGGATGGGTATGCTTGGTCGGGTTCTATTAGGTTCTCTGCATTGTCTTTCTATTTTTGTTTTTAATATCATGATGTTAGTGTGTAGAAAAAATTTCAACCAATTCGGACAATTCCCTCTGGTGGTCACCCTTTTCTACACTTTTACCAGAAATACTTAAGGTAGAAAATAATAAATGCTATAATCACAGAAAATACCATTGTACACTTGTATGAGTGGCTGCTGCTGCTGTAGCTCAGTGGTTCATTCCATGTGACACAAATCCCCCTAACAGTTTTTATTTAATGTTTTTCATTCCAATTTATATTTTAAAACATAAAATAACATAAAATACAATTTTGTTACAGAAAACACCATTGTATGCTCATGTTAGGATATTTGGGTGTACAGTACAGTATATTAGGTGATTTATGCTACTGGTGTGGCAGTTGTTTGTTGTTTGGGTAAATATTCGTCCATTGGCTGTCCTCATGTTTTGGTACGAGAAAAGGTTTTCGGGCGTTTTTCGGTGTGTTTTACTCAGATCTGACATTCACTTATTTTGCAAATTAGCATTTTAGCAAAAAATTAAAATTAAAATTTTTAACAAACTGCTAATTTGCACAAAAATGGAGGTCAAGTTTGGGTAAAACACACAAAAAAAAAGAAAAAAAGAAAAACAATTCTCATAGCAAAGGAATCAACCAACCTATCTAACCTAACTTAACCTACAAGTAGGAGGAGGAAACAACTGACAATAAGTGAGGAGTATAACCTCAGGTAAACATGGCGGAAACCTGCAGACAGCCAATGGACGAATAATAACCATGGTTTGTTCCTGCTATTACCGGACATAGTTAGACATTCACATACAGTATATGACAGTAAGACGAGAAATATAATGTTGAAAATATAAACACAAAAGATTGTTTCTTAAATTTCTCTGTACAGTATGTTATTGAAAATATTCAAGATTAAAGTACTGTACTTTACCGTACCATACTGTGCTATACAGTGCTGTGCCATGCTGTGCTGTGCCATGCCATCCTGTGCCATGCTGTACTGTACTGTACTGTACAGAAACTTAATAGTTTCTTAATGATTTGGTACTGTACTATGCTTTCCATTCCTATAGGGGGCAGATGTCAGTTCTGACAGTCATGACCATCGCTACTCTGCACTACACTTTGCTGCACTCTCAGGAAGTACAGAAACAGTGCAACTTTTGTTAACATCTGGAGCTAAAACATACCACACAAATACCCTGGGGAGAACAGCTGCACAGATGGCAGCATTTGTTGGCAACCATGCAGTAGTGGCACTGATAAACAACTATTTACCTTTGAGTGATGTGTTGAAATACACTGAACCCACAGGGCTTGAGAAAGAAGCAAAGCTGCCATCCTCAGTTGCTAAGCCACTTTATGACCTTATAATGCAGGTAAGAGAATACTTCTGTGTTTTAAATCTTAAGAACTCATACTGCTGTCTAGTTAGTGAGGACTGTGGGAAAGGTGGAATTTGAGGACATTCCCTGACCAAGTTAGACTTTATATTGGCTTTTATATGGAAATATAATTCAGCTTGGATATAGCTAATGTAATCTTGACTGGATCAACTTACCATAATACCTTATATCCAGAATAACTGTCTACTTATACTGTATATGTGTATGAATATTTACTAATCAAATGCTTTGTGTTTGTAGGTAAATCTTCATCCAGTAAAGATTGCCTTCTCTGTGGAAAATTCTGAGGAACTACAGAAGAATATTACAAGTGCCTGGAAGGTTTTGGAAATAATGTGTGAAAAGGAGAGTAAACAATCAGAGAATGTCAATGAGGTATGTGGATTTTGATTAAATTGTCGTATACTGTACATGAATAGTATAAGAAAAAGTAATTTAAGACTACAGTTTTGTATGAGCTTGTGGTACTTTAGTTTCTGTATGGGCAACCACTGGATGTAAGGAAGAAATAAGTTAGGAGTATTGAATGATGAACCAAGAATACAAAGTAGTGACAGAGATATGTAAGTGTATGGTGCATCAGACATTGGTCCAGTTAAAGTTTGCTAAGGTGGTATGGGCGTACTTAGAGAATGAGAATCAATTTTGGTTGTGTTTTATCTAGAAGTGGGTAGTTGAAGAGTGTGTGAGAGGAATACAGAATGAGATGGGCAGATGCAGAGAGGGAGGTACTGAATAGCAGAAAGATGAATGTCCTTGGAGCAGCAGTGCCTGCATGGTATCAAGTGGTGGGTGTTGATGGATGTATTGCTTGTGGATTGTATGATGTGATGGATGAACCAAATTGAAAATTTGGGGCTGTGTTGTGGAAGAGAAACACTATAGCTGAACATTCTTGTTACAGTAGTTAAGGAAAATGAATTACCAACCATGAGTGGAGAGTTTGTGATGTTGCTGGACTCATGCACCATGGTATGAGTGAAAAGTAATATGTGGCAAATACTGTAATGATTATGATATATAGGAGAGATATCATGTGTTACTGACTCTAAATTGTACGTATTTTCATGTAATAGACATGGTAAAGGCAGCTATACCCAGTGTAACTTACTGTAGTAGATTCATTCCATAAAAATGTAGTACTAAGTTATGTACAACATGTTTTCCATAGATTCTCAAATTGTTTTTAAAATCCCAAACTGATACTTAATAATGGACTATGCTATAAGAGGATGATCCCCAATTCATCTGCTTCATTATTACAAAACTACATTAAGTTAAGGATATCTTTTAAGTCTAAACATGGACATGAAGCACTAACTCCCAATTTTTTTTACAGGTAATTTGTTTGAAGTTTCATTACTTGGCATTTGTTTTCAAGACTTTAGAAAAGGAATTGAAGAAACTTGAGCCCATGATGGAGGAGGAAGGATTTGTGAAAGACAATTCCATATTTGAAAGTATCATTAGAAAATGGCTAAGGGGACGTCATTCAGATGGGTTTGAGGAACACCTAGAGTATTACATCAGAGACGCCATCAAGAGTTTCCCTTATGTCGAAATGCCGTTGTTTATGCAGTTGGCTCGAAACATAACTGGAGGTGAAATAGGTGATACATCAGCTCTTTGTATACTTAGTGGCTGCATTAATGGACAGCGGGCTTTCCAGGATGATAAAGCTTGTTCCACCTGTGGTCAAGAGCAAAAAGCCCTAAAGAGATGTTCAAAATGTAAGATGGTACAGTACTGTGATCGGTGTTGCCAGAAACTCCATTGGCCCATTCATAAAAAATTTTGTGATATGCTTCAGATAGAATATAAGAAACAAATGAAGAAGTTAGAAGAAGAAAAGGAGAGAGAAGCAGAAGAAAATGAGGAAAAAGGAAAGAGGGAAAAAGAAACTGAGAAGAAGAATTTGAAAGATGAAGAATTAGCAAGTCAAGAAGTAAGGAAAAGGGAAGAGAATGTAAAGAAAAATGAGGACACAAAATGTAAAGATGAAGAGATGGCAAGTGGGATGAAGAAGGTAGAAATTAAATAGGTGTTCAGGTTATACTGTATTGTGTATTTTTTTTTACTACATCTTACAGTACTGTACAGGTACTGTACTGTTCTACACACACACACACACACACACACACACACACACACATATTACCACACAATTATGTCATTAGCTTCATAGACATTGACACAGGAATATGAATGTGGGATTGTATTTTGAGGTTTAGCATTTATTATCACAATCTATTAAAGCCTAATCTGTTCATCTTGGTAGGTCAGGATAGAACACATTTATCATACGTAACAGTTATAGATTTTATTTATCATACAATACAGTTTTGGATTCATATTTTCCTGTATGTTTTCAGCTATGAAGCCACTTCCTATTAAGAGTATTTCATTATATATTTCAGGATATTGTTCTGAATCATAAACCAGAAGCTATTAATTGTATCTAGATTTGAAGATAATTGTAAAATAAATTTATTGATGGAATTACATTACTAATTTTTATATTATTTTTCATATGAAAGTGGCATTACAAAGATAATGCGATGAAGCTAAACTTTCAGGAAGAGCATAATGAATTTTATGAATACTGTACATTGATAAATGTATACCCTCTGGGGAAAACTTAGTATGTCTTTCAAGAATGACAAGTGTAATTACAGCAAGTTATATTGTACTGGCTAGTGTTAAAAAAGATTAATTATATGAAGATGATAATATACTTTTTCACATTAGATGACCTATTGGTTACAGTTGGAGGTGAGGTGAGCCCCAGTTTTAATAAGCCCAAACCATAACCAACCCATGAGGATATGGAACCTGTTTGGACTTGCCACCAATTGGGCTTATCTGACCAGTCATTGTAATAATAATCTGACATGAACATATTATTTAGTGATAGATATAAGGTTGACTTTGGATATTAGCATACCTGGCTAGGTAGGTACAGTCACCCACACTTCCGTCTGGAATAGTTAGTATTGGCAATCCTCTCCATGATGTGTGAACCCATCTAAAGATCTTCAAGGCCATCTCACACAGAAAGTCATGCTAGCTACACTGCATGCCTTGAGCTATGTTCTCCCACTGGGAAACAGAGTCCAAGCTGTGTGTTATTTAGTTCAGCTTCATTAGTCAAGATGGCCAGAGGTGCTCCTTGGAGTGGTTATTATTCAGATAATGAGGTTTTTACATCTCACTTTAGGATTTAATAAGGAAAAGAGGAAGTGGGTGCATGAAACAAAATCATTTGACAAATTTCATCATTTAGGAAATGTTGTCCTTTCTTTCTAGCCTTGTACTTTTTCAGTCATGTCATATACTGTAGGCATGGATGTCTTCTGACTTCATGAATCAGTTTCTTCAGAGTCCTCACTGATGCACAATATGAAATCAAAACAAACATGAAATGCAGTGTGAGAATGAAACTAACTAGACACACAAGCGACCAACAGCCACATTGCTAGGAAATGGGAGAAAATTTTGTATGTGCCAGCACAACCAATGCTGTGCCAAGAAAAATTGTTGGCCCAGTAATCTAAAATTGTATGGCATAGCCAATTGGCATGCAAAGCATTGTTGCTGGTGTGAGTAACTAAATTTAAAAACTATTGCAGCAATTAAATACCATGTAGCACATGTGCATAGCATAGCTTTTGGTGTGAGACAGCATTCATAGGCGGTACCCCCAGAGAGCCTCCCAGAAACAGTGCCTTCAGTGGCCCTGCCAAGAGAAGCGCCACCGGGGGCAGCACTTCCAGGGGCCCTACCAGAGGCATAGCCAGGAAACATACCAGAGGCGAGATCTTTAGGGGCCCTCTCGGGGGATCCTCTATATGGGCTTTCCCAGGGGAGGCACCACCAGGGTAAGTGCTCTCATGGGCCCTAACAGGGGTGGTGCTTCTAGGGACCCTACTAGGGATGGCACCCCAGGAGACCTCACAGGAGTAGTGCCACTAGGAGCTCTACTTGGGGTGGCACT